GGCGATGGAGCAATAGGGACAATACTTGATTTTGCTACAGCCTTTCATCAGCATCATTGAAGGCTGCATAACAGCAACTTCTAGATTGTTACCACTCAGACAGCTCATTAATTTCCAAAGCGGCTGCATCTGCCATGTCTCACGTGGTTAGGAAATCATCTATATGGAGGGTCTATAGGATGTTAACAGCAACATAAGTAAAGAAATAATGTGTGGCACGTGGACTGCCTTGCTTTTTGCAGAATTATGTGAAATGTGCATGATGTCTTAAAATATAAATACTGTCCATGAGAAGAAAAAAAATGTTTTCCAGCTTTAAAAGCACTGTGAGGCAGAAATGAGAAGAAACAGACAGGAGTGTTGATATAGTGCTGTGAGAAGTAATGATGTGGAAGCCGGAGAGTGAATATACACTTTTAACTTCAATAAATGCATTTCAAACTTCCAGTGTTTTATAAAGAATAAAATATTGTGAGAGAGTTTTGAGACTTGAGAAAAATCTAACATTTTTTCATGTTTGAATCACCTTGAAAATACTCAGATTTATATCTGCAGAACCCAGGTTAAGAACCACTGCTGGACTCTATATTTCAATTATTTAATCTCAGTGTTTGTCCTCATTTTATAGCATTTTGTGTTGACTGTGTTAAGCCACCGGCTGCAGTCAAAAAGTACACATTTAGGATATCTTGCCCCCACCCTGCTCTGAAAAGATTGGTTACCAAACAAGTATGTTTGATGTATTTTGCCAACTGTATCCCTCTGGAAAACATTTCTGCAGTGTATAGTACATGAAATCTGTTTTACTTGTATTTATTCATTTAATAGGGTAGGGTAGCTTTCATTGGCCTCTAGCGGTGAGGTTATAGATTGCAACCACTATTTTCCCAAGGTGTGCCCTTGCGCATTCTCGAACTAATGAGCGAGCCAACACAGAGACCAACACACACCGGAGAAAGCATCACACAAAATGCTTGAAACTCAGGTAAACTCCCACTGCAACGTTACAGTAATATTTTCATCAGCTTGATGTTGAACTAATCTGTGCTCATTGCATGACAACGTTACAATGACTGCGTTTAACAGACAAATTTCAATAACTATTTGTGTATCTTTCATCGGCGAGGCTCAGCAATGTCACCATAGAAAAAAAAAATTGGATAAGCATATGGATGAGCATATGCATTTTTGTATATTATGTGGGTCACGTAAGTTACTGAGACTGGCAAGGAAGCTGTCTAAAACAACAAAATATCTAAATTGAGTTTCAAAGCAAACATGGTGATCTAGCTGGCTGACACTGCCTTGCATCACTATTCATTTTAGAAACAAATCATCCACATTTGCTTTGTACTGTTACATCATTGCTTGCAGGCTAAAAAAAACACTTTGACATAATATTTAATATATAATTGCTGCTTTTTCTTTCTTTTAATTCTTTTAATTTATTTGTAATAATTTTGAGCTTTGTATTGTTGGTTAGACAATACAAGTAATGTGAAGGTGTCACTTTGGGCTCTGGGTAATTTCAATTTAATAATTTCTCACTATTATATACTATATTCAGAATTTCAAAAACCTAATAATGGAGAAAATAATTAGCAGATTAATTCGTAATGAAAATAATCATTAGTGACACTCAAAATGAGCTCCCCTCAACAACTACAACAATAAAATCCTGCTTTTACATTAATACATGAGTAGTAATAATAATAAATATATAATAGTATAACAGTCAGGAGGACTTTTTTTCTTTCTGCAATGAGTACTTTTACTTTTAATACTAAGTACATTTTCCTGATTATAATTACATACGTTTACTTCAGCAACATTTCAATGTAGGACTTACTTGTAACAGAGTATTTTTACAGTGCGGTATTAGAAATTTTACTTAGTAGTAAAGTAAAGACTCTGAATACTTTGTCCACCACATACTAATAGTACTTTTTACTTATTATTTTTTGAAATATAGTAATATGAAGTAGTAATGGTTCATTTTCATATTTTTAAAGCCAGGTACGTTTGTACTTTGACTCACCCACTCATTGAAGACTTTTAGTGGAGTAACACTTAGCGAGGGTATCTGTACTTTTACTCAAGTACAGGACTTGTGTAGGCCTACGTTGTCCGCCATTGTATATTTCACATGCTTTGCAGTAATGTTAGTTTACCTGTCCAGTAGGACAACTTTGGGTCGGTTTTTATATCCAAAGCAACAGCAGTCTCTCCCTGACTCAAACGCCTCTCCGATGTTGACTGTGTTTTTGTCCGACGTCGATCTGAGTTTTGCAGAACGGGCTTCAGCACATAAAACTCTTGTTGTTTTGGATTTACATGGAGTTTGTGTTGGAGTCAGTGTTGTGCTAGGGGGGCCGGTCGTTTTATGGTTATTATTATGAGTCACTTTTTGCAAAGTTTCACATTCACTCTCTTTCTTACATTAATGTTTTAAAACTAAAAAATACAGCACAAGCGTTGGTGTTAGTGACAACACTCAGCTCATAAAAGTATATTGTCATGGATCTTTTTATTGTTGCTCTTGGCAATGATAATAAAATTTCCTTGATTATATAGTTCTATGGATTGAATGTCCGGTCACTAACACAAACACTTGTGCTTTATTTTTTCTGATTATAAATTCATCTTGCTCTTACCTGCATCTCTTGCTCTGTAGTGCACCTTGTGCGGAATTTTTTTTTTTTTTACTAGTTAGATTTTTTTTATGTGTTGTGTTGAGAGATAAACAGAGAGGTCACATCAGAACCAAAACATACATGATATCAGAACAAGCAGACATACCTTCAAACAAACTGTTTCTTTTATGTGTGAGTGTGAGAGAGAGAGAGAGAGAGAGGAGTGTTTTGTGTCTATGTGGGTGCTCCGTACACATTCACAGTCTAGATAAAACACTTCTACTGGAATCAAGTGAAAACAAGTTTTGGGGTTAAAGTATTCTACCTATGATTATGCTCTGTAAACAAATTAATTAGTGGCCATTATCATTTTATCAATCTACTTTTGGGATGTAAATTGAAGAGGACACCTGGGGTCACAGACTCATTCTCATCCAAAGAGTTATTTCAATAAAATCGCCCGTCCAGACTGAGCCATATTGTGCCCACCTGTCAATTGCACCTTTCAGAAACCTGCTGGACCATCATGCAGTAGTGGAATGGGAGAACATATTAAAAAGGTCATATTATTTGAAATTCAAGCCTCTTGGAATTAAATGAGAACCCATTTATTCTCACACTCCCTGGTTCCTCCTGTAAAAAACATTCATAATCATCTATAATTTTGCAGGAGAAAGAATCAATTTGACGGAAATATTATAGCATGAAATATATTCCTACACACCACGATGAATAACAAAATGCGGAGTGCAGTGTAAGTGGTTGGGTGCCTGCAGTTGAGTGGTAGTTTAATACTAAGTGGTTACCCAGCACTGTAGATGTGTCATCACAAAGAACAAACATCATTAAACTTATTATTCATTGCAGTAGCTTTGCAGAAGCCCCTGATGACACATTAACAACAGTCTACTGAGAGACGCATCACTCTTCAGTGGCCTTAAAGAGGCGAATGAAAAGTAGTCCCATTGACTCGCCCTCATCCCCCAAGCCCATTAATGATAATCATTTTTCCCCATTGTTCATTATGATCCAGACCCCTCCATTAACAAAGACTGTAATATCCTCTTCCAGTGTTGGAGATGTAAGTTGTGTAGCCTTGAAATGCGTCTTTCACCACATTACCTTGAGACTCGCAGCAGGAGACAGACATAAGTGACAAATGAACACTCGCTTTAGATATCACCCCCGATCTGTGTTGTCATTATCTCTTTTCATGCCGTCTCAAAACCACTTTCACTCTCGCTTCAGATCCCAGTCAATCACATGGCTCAAAAACGCCAGCGGGGGAACTCAATTGTGCAACTATTACACAGCAAGCTAGTTATTTTTTCTCCCTCTCTGCAGTTCTCAAGGTTTGCACTGTGGGCACGAAGTGTCACTCACGTCTATTGTGTTTAACTTTTTTTTTTTATATTGATCAGTTTTGTGCAAATCCAAGATTCTAAACTATTTTATTTAACATCTTTAATAATTTAACACACAAGGCCGGTGTTCTCCTGCTTCATAAAATCTTTTATCCACAAATCCCATGGAAAGATGTAAACTGACAACGCATTTATTTTTACTAACAAGCAATATAAGTCTGATGTAGCTTAGATTCCATACCATAGAGATCTAATGTTGTCCCAACACGCGATGAACATTTCACTGAAAACATCATATATAGCCTCATGAAAAGGATGGAACAAGCTAAAACTGAAAAAAATATAACTGTCAGACAGAGTAAAATCAGATATAATAGCAAAGAAAACTTGAAAAGTAAGCCAGCATGTCTAATCATGCTCAGTGGCATCTATTTTATGACACAGACCACCTGTAGACTGAAAATGCTGTTACTTACATTAGTTTAGTTAGTTATTGTACAATAATACACCTAAAAGTTATCATAATAACGGAATAAGTCATCACATGCACTGGTATGTGGTAGGTGTTTTTAACAGTATGTAGTTGACGACGGAAGTCTATGACATGACAGCATAGGTGTCTAAAATACAGTTTATAGTTTGAGTATGATTTAAATTTTTTTGTTTTGATTCTGTCTTTTGGATTTGTTGATAATGATAAAAATATAAATATAATTCCAACCTCACCCTTTTCCAGGGATGACATACATGATGTATAGACTTGTCACTAGACTTTGCCTGTTGTCTATATGTTCTCTTGTCTGAGGTGTTTGCCAGTCAAAAACAGCATTAAGAAAGGCAATGAAAAGGCAGTGAATATGGAGGATGCCAATCTCTTCTTGCCGCATCAGTGCCTTCTAGTTGACCATGAAACCCAATCTGGACGCTGATGAAGCGCCTGTCAATGCCAGAGGCCCGACAAAGACGTGTCTGTGCCTCTTTATAAATCACTCCACCCTTGCAGCTGTGGAGTGAACCTGGGGGCTTTTACCTCTGGGTGAACCTCTTGGCAAAAAGCAATTTGTCAGTGGCTCATTTGCATTCAAGCCATATCAAGTGTGATGTGGTAGAGACTGACAACTCCATCAGCTTATCCTCCAGGAGTCTGCAGGACTCCACCGAGGGTATATGGGGTCGATGGGAAGGTAGGTCTTCTTGTTTTCATGCAACAGCAAGGCTACTGGGGGGAAACAGCAGTTTAACCAGACAATCCGAGTTAAAAGCACACTGTTGTTTCCCAGGTTCTGTGATACACAAGCAGTGCTGGGAATATTCATCACTGCACCCCTCTGTAATTGACCCACTGCACCTACTGCTAATGTTCAATGTGACACCTTCCCACCCCGTTTCTCACTGGCAACATCAGCTACCAGCCTCCATTATTTATTATTTCCTCTCAGCGTGCACTTGAAACAAGTGCATGCTCAAAGCAGCAGCATTGAGATCATGTTGCCTCTCTGATAGCATGAACACACATGGACCTTTTTGGGTTGGCAGTGTGATGAGAGTATTTTAAAATGAACTCACACTCAGTGTCCAGTTATCCAACTCACTGCTTTTCCATAATTTGGTTGAATTGCAACCCGTGTCCTGTGTAAAGCTAATAATGAATGCTTTTACATTGAAAAGATTACAGACAAATGATAAGTTATCTAAAGAAAGTTGTTGCTCATGCCCATAATTGGCACACACAGCATTTGTTTTAAGTGTATATTTATTTATTTTTGTGCCAAAACTACAGGCAAATGTGGTCATGTAGACATGGTCAAACTAGAGGGCTTCTAATGACCCTCTCCAATCAACCAGGCCAAAAACGGAGCCCCAGGAAATAAATTAGGATCCCATTTGTGCATTTCTGCTTTTGTTTCATCTGCATCTGAAGAATTGTGAAGATGGGGAAATTAGCACAGTAATGTAAGTAAAGAAGTTTTGTTTGTGACCCAACTTTGTCATAACCCTGCCCATAAGGCACGACAAAAGAGAGAATAATGTAGTGTAAGGTGTGACAGTGTCCAAACTAAAGCAAAAGGGGTTGCAGGCACAGGCAGGGAAGAGAGCCACGCTATATGATGGGGCTTTCATGTTCTATGGAGCTCTGGTCCTCTGATCTAGATGTGGTTGGCTGTGGCAATGAGGCTCCTCAAGCATCATAGTCAGCATTGATAAATTCACACACCAGTAGACTGGACTGGAGCTGTCACCACTTTTACATGGATGTTGGTAAAGAAATAGATGAGATGGAAAAGGAGACTTAAAACACAAGGCAAAATGACCAAAGAAGCAACAATTTGCTGAGTATTTTTGGATTGCATTTAACTGCATTCAGCTACCTAGGTTCCTCTGGTCAAAAGGTAGTTCAAAGTTCCAGAGTTTCTGAAAAAGTGCCTGCGAATGAAAAGTGCAGTAAAACTAATTTAGTAAGTTGCAGTATGTTCTTCACATATAATATTTGATTTAGTTCCCTATAATTGTGTTAAGCCTCTAAAAATGTTCCTCATGGATAAAACATTGTTACAATATCATTATTTCAAGACTTTTGCTCCGCTGTAGCCACACCACTGTGCCTGAAAATTATTTTTAAAATGTTCCACAAAATAATTATCATAATTAGCAAGCTGGATTCTAAAGCACTGTCAATCATTTACCCCATTTCTCTGAAATCAGCTTGTGGGAATGAAGTGCAGCTATTAATAACATGTAAAGACTGTTATGGCCACTGATCAACTTTCCTCCACTGACAAAATGATTTTAGTTCATTCAAGAAAACTGAAGCTCAAGACTGATTTTAAACATGGAAAGTCTGCTACAGCTGGATATTTCCGCAGTGTACAAGGTGGCTTAATGTTGCCTCTAAAACAGTGGGACAAAGAGCCTTTCCTCACAGTGGCTTTCAGTGCCAGAAGGGGTAAGCCCACAACAAATGTCAGCGCAGACACATCTCAGGTTGGCAAGCTGTTACAGGCACTTCATTATGTTTGGGGATAACATCTCATTCTACATTAGAACCTGAGGTCAGAGCAGAAAACGAGCAAGGCAAAAACAAAACACACACAAAATTCCATTAGAGAAAAAGGTATATAAATCAATTCCGCATAAAAACAACAAGCCAGTTACATAACAGCATGCTGTGCAATGGCGATATGCGCTGAAATGAATAGTGACTGTCATAAACAAAAACCTCCAGAGGAAACATGACATCCATCACAGTCTGGGTACACGGTCTGAGATGCAGGAAAAGACTAAAAAAAGAAATGATTCCCCAAAGAGGAACTTGTAAATACCGCTGTCGGTGCTGCGACGAGATGAAAACAGGGGACCCATTAGGGGTGTTGGAAAAGAAAATCATGTCTGTTTCTGAAGAGGGACAGGACTCCCAGGAACTGTGACACAAACGCTATTCAGGAAATCAGTGTCACAGCAGGGCTTAGCTCACACAGTGTGAGAGAAAACAGTTGTGACTGGAGAACGGCTACTGAATGAAAACAGAATCACCAACACAGTAAATATCCCACACAGTTGAGGTATTAATGAGGAGATACACAATGTTTGAACAAATCTACTCAAAATCTGCAAAATGACTCCTGCTGTATTCTCACTGTGATGTCTTTCAAATACAAGTCATGTTTCACCATTGTGAGTATATTTGCTAAAACTGTGTTTATACTACAACTAAAAAAAGGGACACAATTCTCAGTTTTCAGTTTCAGTCAGGATAAAATACTGGACCTACAGTGTGTGCAACCACCTGAATCCTTACATGTCATTCAGCAATAAAAGCAAACAATTTCATGAAGAGCAAGGTAATGTTGATTTAAATCTGTTACATCCCCCTTTAAGAAATAAGAGAAACAACAGGACAATCAAAAGAAAGTGGCAGTGACAATAACAATGATTTACTTTCAAGATAATTGCCAACAAACATTACAACAAGGATTGAACAGGGATGGTTATGTCAAATAAAATGGAGGTGAAAATACAACAAAACTAGGATACCGCTCAAACAAAATAGAAAACAAAAGGCTCAAATATCTACAAAGAGAACTTCAACAAAACATACAGAGGTGGCAGCAACCTATCCGTGTATGGTTCGTTCTTTGATTATTCAGTTTCAAAACCAAAACAAAACAAACAAAAGCAGTTTCGTTCTATTTATGACTGGTGTTGTATCACTACTGGTTTTCAAACTATGGCATACAACGTGCAGCAAGTTAACTGCTTGAGGATGTCCCAGCACAAACGCCGACACGGAAACATTTTTACACACTTTCTGCTGCCAGCATAAACACACATTCACTCAACATGATCCTTCGACGTCCTCCCGGCTCACTCCTGCTGGTCGCTCTGATCACAGACCGTCCGCAGCGCACCGGGCCGCTGCTGCAACCTCCTCTCCCTGAACCGGCGCACTGTGGACGGTCGGTGAGCATTCCCTCTGCCTGGATGAAGTCCAACGCTCCTGCATCTGGCAACTTTCTAAATTCTTCCATCTCACAACTAAAATAAACGTCAGGTTATAACAGTGTAAAGAGGCTGCTGCAGCTGTTGTGTCTTCTTTACGCTAATTGTAGCAAAATGGCTACATATAATAATATTAGGAATGCCTGTTATTAATTAATGAAGACCTTAATTTGTTATTAAGTGCTTGTCCATACTGTGCTGTAATGCCGAGCTTTCCTCCAAATCAGCCCAGCATGGTGTGCTATTTAAATAATGAACAAAAATTACCTGAACATTTTAATCCGTATGTGATTCGTTAATATACAGCTTGCCGAATTAACTAATAAACAGTTCATGTTTGCTGTGTACCACTGGATATACTGACATCACTGAATTAATTTGATACTGAAGAAAATCTGAAAAACTGGAGGATTGTCAGGCATCTTCTGAGGCATTCCACTTCCTGTCGAAGTTGCTAGTGACTTACAAAATGAACGGTGAGCCTCCTGTTTTTCTAACTAAAAACCCACTTATGTTCAAGCTCCTCTTAATTACATTTAATCAGGCACCGCCATCGCCCAAGTGTATCTGATGCAATATGGTACGCAGGGTTATGCACAATGCAGTCGCAATAGTCTGAGGGTTCCGAGAAGAAAGAATCTTCTTGATTTTTTTGCACTTGTCTTTATGGTGTGTTAGTATGGTACGCTTTATGCACAATGCAAATAGTCTGAGGTGAGAGACCACCATCTACTATACCAGAAAATGTAGGATGAGTTATTAGGTGTGACAAGACACAAACCCACAAGACGAGACTTTAACACTATTTTTTTTTTAAACTTTAATTATATGAAAATTTTGAGCATTAAACACTTTCATTTGCATTCTGAGGAATTTTTGCTGCACCAGTTTATGGTGATTTTTTATTTTATTTTAAGAACCCCCCCCACTAAATTCAGGTGTCAGGTGACAATTCAAACTCTATATCCTAACTATAACAGAATATAATGCAGTGCAGCTCTCAGTCATTCTGTGCTATCAGATCTGTTTCTCCTGTAGATAAATTTTTCTCATGTAATATCCCTGCTGAGTCATGATTTAGTCACCTCAATGATAAATTATTACATTTTAATTTAGTAATAAACTCCTGGACTTTAATAGCTCCAGTGTTTCAGCTCTTCTGACATTTCCAGAAAAGAGGCATAATATTACAAGACTATAATTTAATGCATTATGTTATTGATCTGCTGGTAGTAACATCATCCCCTTCAGACCGTTTGATCTACGCAGTTTGGGACTGCTTGCGGCATGTGAAACCGAAAATAAATTAAACACTTGTGATCAGGTAGAAATCTCTCTCACTCACTCACACACACGTTAACTTCAGCAGCTCAGGTAAAGTGAGCTCCATGAGTCTGCGTCAGAAAACTTGTGTGTGGCCTGACAGCGTGTGAAAAATGTCATTTGCAGAGTCTCGGAAGACAAATTTTTACCTGACGAGAAATCTCAAGAGATCTTGTGGCTATGAGTTGTGTTCAAATACTCTTCTTTACTTCATAATTACAGCAGTGGCTGTAGCTTGGGGGTTAAACTCATCTACTAACCAAAAGGTTTGTGGTTCGGTCCCCGGCTCCCCCAGTCTGCATGTTGAAGTGTTCCTGAAAGACACTGAACCCCAAATGTGAATATGGGTGAATGTGATGTAGTG